GTAACAAGTCAATCCAGTGTGGAGGTATTTCTAGGGTCTTTGGACAGTTTCTTCCGACTTCAGTGCAATGAAAATTTTTTTGTTTCAAAAAAGTCATCAATTCTCCCAAGAGTCTCCCTGAATTCATTCAATAGAAATTTGATGAAACTATTTGATTATAAACCTTTCTTTTTCATTTGGCTGCTACAAATTTAGTTAAAACGTTTTTTCGTAATGCCCCCCTTTAATAATGAAAAGAATGTTGTGGAACACCTCATGGACCTCTAAGCCTCTGATTGCTGCAGTCAATGGACCTGCTGTGGAGATATCAGTAACAGTCATGGGTCTGTTTGACCTCATCTGTGCATCAGACAGAGCCACATTTCACACACCTTAATTTGGAGCTGGGACAAAGCCCTGATGGATGCACAATTATGTTCCCCAGGATGCTGGAACCTATGAAGATATTGCTTCAGTTGTACTACTTTAGTTGAGCTCTTAAAAAGCTCTTTACGGTGGCCAATTTACATTATCAGCTTACCGGTAGTTGTTAAAACCAAATTACTTTGTAACCCCCACCAATGCAGCACCACAGTTTCTTTAGAAACTTACCCCATTTAATGAATAGATAAGCATGTTTCGGTGTTCTAACCATTTCATCTTGTTCCTTTAGCTGATAGTTTATTTAATATTTCAAAATTTTCGAAACCCTCATCTTGAATAATGAAAAAAAAAACAAATGAAAAAAAACAGAACAGCTAACTGGCTACCGGCGGAACCTTCGAAAAACGGGTCTCAGATGTAAAAACTTAATCCTTTAACCCCTAGGAGTGACTAGGATCTAATTTCTCCTTACAATATCACCACTGAATCACACATTAAGGTCACGAGAATAAAGAAAATGATCACAAACTATAGAAGCTATTGATTGTTCAACAAATTCTCTTTGTCAGCAGACTCAGTAGAAAGTGTTAAACGCTAGCTGTGAAAAACTTAGCTGACACATTTTCCAAAGATGTCCAAAAGAAATTGAAATTGAGCACAAACTAACACGGACAACTCTGAGAAAAGAAACTGATGTAAGCCTCCACATTTGTCGAGTAAATTTGTCTTCGTTCATCGCGTCACGAACACGCACGGAAAGTAACGGGCGCAGTCGAGTAGAATTGACTCATATTTTTTAGGTTGCGCTCAAGCTTTTGTACAGTTTATATATTTCAACACGCTCATCACATTACTGAGTCGCAAAACATAAAAATAGAAATGTCGTGTCGTCAGACGAAAACGAAAAAAAAAATTGCCAGACACATCATCTCTCAAATCAAACTAGAAAATGGTTGCATGATGCGCTTTTGCGCAACTCGAAATTGTTTGATTTTTCACCCCGTTCAACCAGCTCGATCTGCATAAATTTCCGTTTTGCACTTTCTCCAGTTACCCGACGACGCTAATTAGATTAAAATAATTTTCAACCTGCGGAGTATATTAACCCAAGTATTAAAACGAGTTATGAATTTTTTAGGTCGTAAAATAAAAAAATGTGAAAGTGCCATGAATACATAGTGACTTCTATATTTAATCAGGAAATTCAAAGACGGGTATCTTGGCCAAAGTATTTTAAAAACTAAAGATCGATTCGTCAAATGTCCCCAAAAAGACTAAAAGAGGTTTTAGAACTCAAGAAAGAATCTATTATCGACAAATATTGTTCCTTGCATTTATACTGAAACGAGATACATCTGATATGAAATAATGGCAGTTTTTCATACAACTTACGATCAAGCTGAATTTGAATATTCAAAATATCTATCTTAAGAGGCTATTTAGCGGCTAAAGGTTTAATTTTTTTAGAATAACATAACTTCATTAAACGAAATAATTTAATTCGAATATTTCAATGGATCATTTTTTTTTTGCATAAATTTGTTTTCCGCAAAATCGCCGTAAAACGTGTGTGTTATAGGGACGAAACTTTTCAAAGTATTCTAAATCAGAAGTATAAGTTTAAAGTCATGCTCTCTGAGTTCATTTTTTTACTCCAAAGTTAAAACCAATGTTTTTCCACCGAGATTTACGCAGGTGGGGGCCAGGTGTTTAGGCTTAGGTTGCAAAAGCGAGTGACGACCCTTTTGTGTAGGTAGTAGCGGTTGTTTATTTATAGTAATAATAAGACTTTATTTATTGAGGATAGCACGTGATAGTGCACAAACACTAATAAACTTGTGGTCCTCTTAATTACAATAAATATATAAATGCAAATACAATAGAATCACTAATATATTAAGATTACAAATATAAATAGAAATTTAGCTAATTACAAATAATATTTAATTGATAAAATATATAATACAAGATAATATAAACAAGTAAGAATATATAAAACTACTATCAATAAAATTTACCGATTAAAATGAGCTAAGCATGATTTGTCATCATAATAATATTTAAATACGTTGTCTTTAAAGGCCTTAAGTGTATTAGACTTTTTTAATTCAGGCTTTAACTGATTCCATAATTTTATGGCAGAAACTAGAAAAGTTTTCCCTCCTTCTCTAGCCCTTTTAAACTTAGGTAATAAAAAGTTGTATTTACAAAATCTAGTGTTGCGTGAATGTACTGAACTTAATAATCTTAAGCTATCATTAAGATAATTAGGTACACAATAATTAATCCTTTTAAATAGTATTGAACATTTAGCTATCTTAGTAGAGTTATAAAATGGTATCCACTTTAAACGATTGAATAGCATAACTGATGAACTACGTGGTTCAGCATCTAATAAAACCCTAGCAGCTCTCTTTTGTAGCCTAAGTATTCTTAAAAGAGATTCATTAGAATAGCATACCTCGACTCAATTTCAGTTTATAGAAAGGAGTATCTTTACGATTTGAATGGCGAAAATTGATTCGCTTTATTGACGATTGTTGGAAAGCCTTCAAACTGAGCAAGAAGCTCTGGCCTTAGGAAAAGGCGTGGGTGAAGGGAGAATTTTCAGTGACAGCTCACATTTCTTTTAGTGGTGACGCGCTATTTGCATAAGAAGAGTCTCAGAAAGCGAAATTTCTCGCCATACTTGTAAATGTTCCTTTGGCGCATCCTTGAACGACATTTCATAGAATCTGAACAATAGAAACAATTTTAAACAAGCAACACACTTCTGTCCATTTTATTTTCCAGTTTTAGTTTCCAATATCAGCTTACCGCTAAGTCGAGAAAATGATGGCTTGCGAAAACAAAACAATGACAGCCATAAGTTTGCCAAGAGGTTAAATTGTAGTTTCGTCCATAAACTTTAAACCGAAACATTGTGTAACTGGAAGTCCACACCAAAGCTAAAGAGCGATTTTCATCTACAAACAATATTGACACGATGGATACTCTCAAGGAATCACTTGCACCAAAAACCTTCAACAAAATTAGCCATCTCGCAGTTTTAGTTTGGTTTGTGATCGGTGCAATCTTCCTTGGCATTTTTACTGAAGTGGAAAACACCGAATCCAGGTTTGATTTCCGTTGTGGCGGAGCGGAGACCGAAAACACTGACCTCGTCCGTGGAGACTGCTTCCAGCAATACGAGGAGCAGTACAACAAATATGGTGTACCTATCTATGGCTTCGTGACCATCAATTTCTTCCTCATTGCACTTGTTTGTGCTATTTTCTCCCAAATAGTGAGAAAGACCGTTGATGAACTATCGCCAAGCACTCGTAACGGCGACCGTGAGAGCCAGTCGCGCCACAGAGAGAAGCAAAAATCAACGGGAAAACAGCTTTTCATCGCTTACTGCTGTCAACTGTCCACAAGACTTGTTTTGGGAGTTCTTTTCATGATCCTTCAAACTCAGTTGCTTTATCCTTTAAGGTTTCCCTATAAGTTTGACTGTTATTTAACCTCTGGAACCAATCAGCCAAGGAACTTATCTGACGCCGCCCAAAACTCCACTCAGTTTCACAAATGTAACAATCAACGAGCGGAAAAGAAAACCTTCTGGATGTACGCTGTCCTAGCAGTTAATGGAATTTATGTCGCTGGAATTCTAATTGAAACCATCTACATTTTGTCACGGGCACGCGTAGAAACGAAGTTCATGAAAAACTCAGAGTTCCTTAAAATTCATCTAAATCCCAACCATGACAAGTCGTATCAGGAACCTCAAAAGCAAGAAGGTAGAATACAGGTTGTTGTAATGCAGCCAAGAGTTCATGACAACCTTCCGACGCAACCCGGGTTGCACCCAGAACCTCAGAGGCAAGATGATGTTGCCCAATCGCAGCCACGAGAGCGAGAACACCGTCCAATCCAAGTCGAAATACACGTACACCCTCAAAAGCAAGATGATGTTATTCCACCACACCCAAGAGAGCAAGAACACCGTCCGACCAAAATGGAGTCTTACCAAGAACCTCAAAGACAAAATGATGTTGTCCCACTACCGCCACGAGACCAAATCGGGTCGCATCAAGAACCTCAACAGCCAGAGGGAAGGAGTGAACATGATATTATTTCTCCAGTGCAAAGGGAACCCGAACAGCTCCAAAACTCGAATCTACAACTATTCATCGCCGAAACAAAGAAAATAATTAAAGAAAATACCCAACACCTTTTTGAACTCCAACCACCGTTTTTAGGAAACCCAGGCGAGCAAACGGCAGTTAAATATTTCACTCTGGATCAGATCTACACAAATCTTGTGGTCGTTCCAAATAGAGCTACATATGACTTTACTGCAAACAGAGAGGAGCAACTCAAAGTTTATCCAAGGCCGCGCACGGAATCACAACTTAAAAGCCTGGAAGACCTCCTAAATGATAAAAGTAAAAAGGTTCTGATTGTCGGTCGCCCCGGAATCGGTAAGACATTTTGTTGTACTAAACTTCTCAGAAATTGGGCGTGTAAAGAAGTTTCTGAAATCCATTTTGATCCTGCTTTCTTAATAAAATTTAGAAGATTCAACTCAGACAACCACCTTAGCCTCAGGGAACTGTTGGTTCAGTCAGAGCATTTTCCTTCAGATCACCTGGATGATGAAGTCTGGAAATACATCCTGCAGCACCCTGAAAGTGTACTTATTCTTTTCGACGGATTTGATGAATTCAATCACAACGCAAACATCATCCAGTGGCCGGCCTCTAGTCCCAAAAGCATTGAACAGAAGGTGCCTCTCCAAAGCCTCTATTACTGGCTTGTGACCGGGAAACTACTAAAAAATGCTTTAATTTTGACAACCACGAGACCAACGGCTTTGTCGAGCATCAAACGCCTTCCGTTCGACAAAACCTGCGAAATTCTGGGCTTCACAACCGAGCAAATTAAAGAATATGTCTCCAGATTTTGCGGAGATGACAAGCAAGCAGGCGAAAGACTATGGCGACACATCAGCAGCAACATGAACTTACTTTCGCTCTGTTATATCCCCGTGAATAGCTTCATCATGTGCTCAAGTCTGTTCGAAATATTGCAGTTCGAAAGTTCCGCTAGTGCTACCCTCCCTTCCGAATTAACAACCCTTTACATGATTGCAGTGACCGTGTTTTACCTTAAACACACAAAAGAATTCCGCGATAATGAGTCCACTCGCGAACACTTAGATTACAATAACTTGCCACCAGAAGTGGAGGAGAAATTCGAGAAACTTGGAAAAGTGGCGTTTGAAGGAATTAAAAAAGGAAAGCTGATCCTTGGAGGAAACGAAGTACGCGGGATGGAAGACAGCGCTCTCTTTCACCGCCTACCCGACTGTCGAAGTGATGCGTTAAAACGCGAACCACAATTCTGTTTCATTCATCTCACAATGCAGGAGTTTTTCGCTGCAAGGCACCTAGCGAACAACGTGAGTGAAACAGAATTGAGGAACTTTGTTACAAAGAACAGCGAGAACGGCAAATGGCAACTAGTGATTCAGTTTCTAGCAGGACTAATGAACGATAAAGATGAACTACCGAGCGAAATTATCACCGACCTTCTTCCTGTGGAAACTGAAGAGGAAGAACGCTATGACGACGACGAACAGACAGGGAATGAAGAGGAATGGAAAGTAACCTGTTGGCCGACTAAGGACAAAAGAGATTTGGCAGTGACACTGTGTAAATGTGTAAACGAAAGTAAAAAGATGGAAATCATAGTCCAAAGAAAGCTACAACAAATTAACTTTAATTGTGTAAATTTTATTGCAAGTCACCTCACAGCTGTGGAATGCTCTTCGTTAATAAATGTAATTAAGAATATTGAACAAATTTCACATTTAGATTTGATGGACAATAACATGGACTCATTAGGCTGTCTCGAGATTGCTAAATTGTTAATATATTGGAAATGTCGACTAAGCTGGTTAAACCTCGCAGAGAATCAACTGACAGACGAAGCAGTAAAGCATTTAGCTAACGCCATCACAAACAACAACTGTCAGCTACGCTCGTTAAACCTCTCAGAAAATAACATCACAGACACAGGAGCACAGCACTTGGCTGAAGCCATCACAAACAACAACTGTCAGCTACGCTCGTTAAACCTCTCAGAAAATAACATCACAGACACAGGAGCACAGCACTTGGCTGAAGCCATCACGAACAACAAGTGTCAGCTACACACGTTAAGCCTCTCGTTCAATTACATCACAGTCACAGGAGCACAGCACTTGGCTGAAGCCATCACAGACAGCTGTCAGCTACGCTCGTTAAACCTCTCAAAAAATAACATCACAGACACAGGAGCACAGTACTTGGCTGACGCCATCACAAAAAACAACTTTCAGCTACGCACGTTAAACCTCTCACAAAATAACATCACAGACACAGGAGTACAGCACTTGGCTCACGCCATTACAAGCAACAACTGTCAGCTACACACGTTAAACCTCTCATACAATAACATCACAGACACAGGAGCACAGCACTTGGCTGACGCCATAACAAACAACGACTGTCAGCTACACACGTTAGACCTCTTAGGCAATAACATCACAGACACAGGAGCACAGCACTTGGCTGACGCCATTACTAACAACAACTGTCAGCTACGCTCGTTAAACCTCTCATACAATAACATGACAAAAGTAGGTAAGCAACATGCACGTAATTTAGTGAGCAAGAGTCAGTCTAAGTGTAAGCTAGATATTTAAGCCTCGCCAACTCCAATTATAAACTGTTTATAAAAAAATTATGTGAACCACTTACAATTCAAAATAACTTTGAGTCACACTTTGAGTCAACCAGCTCAGAGACATTATCACGACGTAACAACTCATGAATGATAACCAACTAAATTGGTGAACTGTGAAGCGCTCACAGCAGCGAGAGTATTTGAACCGGATCGAAATGAAGAAAATTAAACCAATGAACATGTTTATTGAGAGCTAAGGATGTCAATCTTTTTTAAACGAACCAATAACATTGAAGTAAAAACGCAGAGCTTTATGCAGAGAACAGACAAACTTCGGACCTCTCAGGAAACGTTGTCATTTTATAACAAATGATTGGTTAGTTTCGATCCTAAATTTACTGCATGCTTTTGCATGTTTTGATCGCTTTTGAAGTTCTTTTGCCGATTAATTCATGGCAGAATACGTTTGTTTTAATTTTTAATTTTTTTAATTTTAAGGGAAGCGATCCGGTTCACTTAGTTTCATACTTACTGCCAATGAAATCGTAAAATATTAACTTGTCGCGCTTCAAAAACAAAAGCCTTTTTTTGTAGATTCACGGAGTGAGATTTATATTATGTCAATTTAAGCAATTTTTTGAGGTCTCCGCTGTTGTTGTTATTATTAGTGTAGTTTTAACGTATGGAGGGCCTGCTACTTGTCTGATATAATCAAATATCCCTGCAAAACCTGAGAACGAAGCTGCAGACTTCCACAGTTAGGATTTTAACTTGCCACTACTTGTATCTAGAACCATGCAGAACTCCAAAATTTATCAGTGTAGAATAAATGTTTTAAACTGATGAAAACCCTGTGTTGTGATCTATTTATCCCCTATGATTTGACCTAACTTGGAAGATGTGGGGAAGGGTAGGGAGGCAGGGGGGAGAAAGATGTAGCCTTTTAAATATCAAGTAAAAACAAAATGAATTTACCAAAGAAACATGCCTTAAGTCCCCTATGGAAGCACAGATCACCTACTGTTAATCTCTTAAGTCCCAAGATCTGATCGCCTAACTCCCCTCTACCAGTTACAAATTTCCATGTAAATTAATTGTGAGAATTTGGTAGTATATCAAGATAAACAGCTCTACCTGATAAGTTTGATTATTCTCACAACCTGTTTACTGCATATTGTATGATTATTGTAGAGAGAAGTTACATGGTAATCACTTCTGCAAGTTAAAGGGTTTATTAGGAGGTTAAGGACTCAAAAAAGAAAAAAAAAAAAAAAGCTGGCAGCATCCTCTTAAAACCCTTACCATACCCAAGATTAAATGATTTTCCCCTTCTTCTTTCAAACCTGGACAAACGTTTTTCTGCATACCTCATATTGACAGTAAATATTGTATTTCCATAAATAAGCAGCCACATTCCAATAAGCACCTTCCCCTTAGGCCATAATGTCAAATAAGCACCCCTCCTCAAATAAGTGCCCCACCCCCCCCACTCTCTTTTAGAGGTGCAAAGGGAACTGTTTCTATTGCCACTTTATTGATAACTTACTAAGCTTCAATTACAGCAGTATCAGCACAGAAAATTCTTATCATGTTTGTTCTGGGAATTTGATACTGTATCTACTATTTATCCCCTACTCCATACTTTTTCTTTATTCTCATGACTTGTCTGCTTGATATTGTATTGATGAAGTAAAGAGAAACTCTATCTTGGTCACTCACAGGAGTTAAAGGGTTAAAGAATAGCTTTGAGGCATCCCAGCCATTTTTTGAACAATTTGAAAGGAAATATAAGCTGCACAAGTTCTAACTATAGGAAATTAGTATAATTGCAGAGCTGAGCAAAGAGTTTCCAGCAATCTGATTGGTTAAGCAGTTCCTTATATGACGCTATATAATCCGCTCTACGTGGTTTATATAAAATGTTAAAAAAAATTGTAATAAATGTTACTAAAATGTTATGATTTCAGAAATTTCTCTGTTGTTCAGCTCTGGAATTATACTAAAACAATTATTCGCCTCAGGTTTGGTGAATATTGTCGAATAATCCCCTCGACTTCATCTTGGGGATTATTCAACAATATTCACCTCACCTTTGGCGAATAATTGTTAAATATAGCATTTTCTCACAAAATATAGGCACTTTATAGGAGCTAAAAAAGCTTTTAAGAGTAAATGCCTATAAAATTCAGCTACCAATGGCCAGACTGGAAATTTCTTTTGGCACATATTTTGTCCATCGATAGGTTTGGTAAGTAACTAAATGGGATTTAGTTTGTTTTCAGAAAGGCCACTTCAATTTGGAGAAAATTTTAAAAAATCTGTTTCTGCTGTCAGTGACTTCAAAACAGCCAAAATTTAAGATGAAATGGACTGTTCTCAAAATTTCACTTGCATGCAATAGGGAAGAAAGGGAAGAAAGAGAGAGAAAATATTTTCTGATGCATCAGTTCATTGAGGGTTTTACTTCTAGTTTGGCAGTAAATATTCAACTTAGCAGTAATCTGAACAGCGAACAATAATATTTTATAACTACCTTAATCTTAACTGAAAAAAATTAATATTTTAGCTGAAAGTCACGACTAAAATTTTAGGCACATGCTACACCTTGGTTTACCCTGATGAGACTCAAGCTATAAGGTCTTTAAACAGTTGTACTCAAACATATGTAAAAACTGGCTTGGGTAATGCAGTTTGCGCTTAACACAAACTCTCCGAACTTGAACAAGATTTGGTTAAGATATGAGACCTAAGTAGCAATTTGTTGGTGTTTACTACCACAGGAGGCCTGTTATAATTAAATTGTTAACATCAATTTTAATATCCATTTTTAATGGTTTTGCCAAATAATAAGAAATAGTGAGTGAATATTTATAGTAAATAATTTTATTAGTTTTTGTCAGCAAAAATGCTAAAAAGTGCATTAAAAATATAAATTAATCATTCTGCAGTCATCCCATTTTAATAAATTTTATGGGAAATATAGAAGGATTTCATGAAACATAGGCTCTTTATAGGATCTTATATAAATTACAGGATATATAGGAGGTCTGGGATGACTGAGGTTTGTGTGCATTCATTGTAAAAAGAACATCAGACTGCTTTGTAGCTGCCAGATTGCAACTTAATAAATTACAACTGATTGTCAAATGCAAAGTTTTGCTTATCTTCAAGTATTTTCCTGTATTCAGTGAACACTTTTCAAAGCCACACAAAGTTCTCTCAAGACAACCAAGGTTGCACATTGTACAAGGTTTACACCCTTGGCTTCTTCACTTGATGCTGGGCATTGTCCACAGTACTGTCTTCCAACTCCTTGTACCTGGCTGTCAATGGGTTGTATATGTTCTGAGCATTACTAAATGGCTCTGCTACTTTTATATAAGAGGGTGCTCCACTAACTACATCCATGAAAGACTTGCCATCACTACGCTCCCAGCCATGCTTAGCGCGATATGCGCATCCCAGACATGCTGAATTGGCCGTATCTTGGATGGCAAATACAGGAGCATTAAACACATCAGCTACTACTTGAAGTATGGCAAGATTCGATGATGCACCTCCAGTTGCAAGTATCCGTGTAGTAGGACCTGACGACAGAATAATGAAGACATTATAGCCCTGCTGTGTAGGGTTGATTTGGTATATTCCCCAGAAGATAATCAAAATCGAGCCTATTTTATCAGGCACTCACCAGTTCACTCAGGCTCAGCTTCAAATTTTCTACCTTAATTGACTCTTTTTTGTTTGACAAGCATCTTTGCCTCTAATTTTCACAGTTCTGCTTCTCAAAATACCCATTAGTTACAGGGAATTTTGGTGTTAGATCATGAGAACTCCTACCTTTAAAGTTTGATTATTCTCATTACCATTTTGTTGGATAAAGTATGAATATTATAAGGAAAAATTACATGTTAATCACTTCTGGAGGTTAAAAGCTGAAAACAAACAAGGATTTAAAGCAATATTAATTACTTTGCAAACTAAGATTGCTAAGGAATACAGAGATAATGTGGAAAATTTTTATTTACCTAATGAGTATCCTAGGGCCTCTGCATGAGCTCTCTTAGCCATGATCTGCCCCTCAACAAGTGCTCTCACTTCTATTTCTTTAGGAAATGACTCAACTCTTTCCCCCTTTTCATCAAAACGATGAATTCCAACAGCAAAGGGTGTTATTTCTGTAGCTTCAAAATAGATGCCAATGTTTCCTTTATTGCCACGATCAGTGTTCTTTAATGCTTTATTGAAAACTTCCCAGGAGCCATCTGCTGAAGAGTCTCTTAGAGACTCTCTTGTCAGGGACCCATTCTTGAAACAGAGAAGAGCCATGTAGGCATTTTCTACAAGGACGAAAAAGACATTTTCAGATTTAAGACAATGTTGCCTTACTGGGAAGAAGTTTATGTGATAAAAATGATTTATTAGTTTTGTTTTCATTCCACAGAAACTGTTGCCAGTGTTGCTCACAAATGCAAGTGAAAAAAAAAATGCAAGTGAAAAAAAAAATACAAGCAAAATAACATTGAATCAAATTCTTAAAACTGAAGTTTCTAAAGGTGGCAATTCTCGCAAGATAATCACTGGTATCTGTCTTTATTTGTTGTAAAACAATTTGTCTATAGTACTTATTTGTATACTTCTCTTCCATGGCTTGAGATGGGCACATACAATTTTTTAAATTCTTGCAAAAAGCTTTCAATATGAAACACTGAATGCAAACTAAATCATATATAAAATACCTTCAATTGGATTGACAAATATATGCCCCTCAAGGGCAGGCTTGGGAGTTTTGAAACATAGCATAAGCGTGTCGCTAGTTCCCAGACTCAAGGCAATGTCCCCTTCATCTAGTCTCATCCCTGCTAAAGAAGCAGGATTGTCACCGGTGAATGCCACAACCTTACAATCAGGACTGAATCCATATTCTTGCACCATGTACTGTGATATATGGCCAATTATTTCATAGGAAGGTACCAAATCACCAAGCTTTTCAATCAAATTTGGTGCACATGCCTACCCAAAAATAACAAAAAAAAAATAGAACAAACATTCCACATCAAATAATTGCAATCCCCAAAGTCTGTTTAAATCTTCCACAATCTGAAGTTACATTGTGTACAATTGAACCTTTCCACAACAACCCCTACAAAGCAAATATGGTTGGATCATAAAATGGTCACCACTACTCAGTATATGGAATTTGAATTTAAAGCTGACATGGAATGACCCTTTTTTTCTCGAAAATCTTGTCCCTGACTGTTTTTCACTTGTCAGGTAGAAGAGCAGAGCGCTGCTTGGTTAGCCCTTAGTTAGTTCAGTGAATCAAGACGAAACTACGATTTTATAAACTGGTGTACTTCCAAAGGTTGGTCAAGCCTTTCTACAAATTACATTTTCACTTATTATCTCACAGAAGTTCTAAATGCAAGGTAATTATAAGTCACTGACCAAATTGTCCTATGTTTAAGCCAGTGTAAAAGTCTTAGTCTAATTACAGCTTTCACTTTATCACACAACTACAATCAGGATATCCCACCAGTCTGATCAGCTTCTGCATGTAAAACCCTTGGATTTACCAGACATTTGTCTTATGACATCAGTTCAACTAATATCTGCTCGGCCTGCTCCCAGTTGGCTTGTTAGCTCAATTGGTAGAGCGCTGCACTAGTATCACAGAGGTCAGTGGTTTGAATCCCATACAGGCCTGATTTTCTCAGGTCTGATTTTCACTATTGCTCATATAGTGCTTTACTGCGAAGGATCGTGCACATATATGTTTATTGAGAGCTAAGGATGTCAATCTTTTTTAAACGAACCAATAACATTGAAGTAAAAACGCAGAGCTTTATGCAGAGAACAGACAAACTTCGGACCTCTCAGGAAACGTTGTCATTTTATAACAAATGATTGGTTAGTTTCGATCCTAAATTTACTGCATGCTTTTGCATGTTTTGATCGCTTTTGAAGTTCTTTTGCCGATTAATTCATGGCAGAATACGTTTGTTTTAATTTTTAATTTTTTTAATTTTAAGGGAAGCGATCCGGTTCACTTAGTTTCATACTTACTGCCAATGAAATCGTAAAATATTAACTTGTCGCGCTTCAAAAACAAAAGCCTTTTTTTGTAGATTCACGGAGTGAGATTTATATTATGTCAATTTAAGCAATTTTTTGAGGTCTCCGCTGTTGTTGTTATTATTAGTGTAGTTTTAACGTATGGAGGGCCTGCTACTTGTCTGATATAATCAAATATCCCTGCAAAACCTGAGAACGAAGCTGCAGACTTCCACAGTTAGGATTTTAACTTGCCACTACTTGTATCTAGAACCATGCAGAACTCCAAAATTTATCAGTGTAGAATAAATGTTTTAAACTGATGAAAACCCTGTGTTGTGATCTATTTATCCCCTATGATTTGACCTAACTTGGAAGATGTGGGGAAGGGTAGGGAGGCAGGGGGGAGAAAGATGTAGCCTTTTAAATATCAAGTAAAAACAAAATGAATTTACCAAAGAAACATGCCTTAAGTCCCCTATGGAAGCACAGATCACCTACTGTTAATCTCTTAAGTCCCAAGATCTGATCGCCTAACTCCCCTCTACCAGTTACAAATTTCCATGTAAATTAATTGTGAGAATTTGGTAGTATATCAAGATAAACAGCTCTACCTGATAAGTTTGATTATTCTCACAACCTGTTTACTGCATATTGTATGATTATTGTAGAGAGAAGTTACATGGTAATCACTTCTGCAAGTTAAAGGGTTTATTAGGAGGTTAAGGACTCAAAAAAGAAAAAAAAAAAAAAAGCTGGCAGCATCCTCTTAAAACCCTTACCATACCCAAGATTAAATGATTTTCCCCTTCTTCTTTCAAACCTGGACAAACGTTTTTCTGCATACCTCATATTGACAGTAAATATTGTATTTCCATAAATAAGCAGCCACATTCCAATAAGCACCTTCCCCTTAGGCCATAATGTCAAATAAGCACCCCTCCTCAAATAAGTGCCCCACCCCCCCCACTCTCTTTTAGAGGTGCAAAGGGAACTGTTTCTATTGCCACTTTATTGATAACTTACTAAGCTTCAATTACAGCAGTATCAGCACAGAAAATTCTTATCATGTTTGTTCTGGGAATTTGATACTGTATCTACTATTTATCCCCTACTCCATACTTTTTCTTTATTCTCATGACTTGTCTGCTTGATATTGTATTGATGAAGTAAAGAGAAACTCTATCTTGGTCACTCACAGGAGTTAAAGGGTTAAAGAATAGCTTTGAGGCATCCCAGCCATTTTTTGAACAATTTGAAAGGAAATATAAGCTGCACAAGTTCTAACTATAGGAAATTAGTATAATTGCAGAGCTGAGCAAAGAGTTTCCAGCAATCTGATTGGTTAAGCAGTTCCTTATATGACACTATATAA